ACTCTGACTGGGCCAATGATAAAGATGATCGCAAGTCTACCACGGGCTACATACTCCTACTCGGTCCTAATATCATCTCTTGGTGCACGAAAAAGCAGACTCGTGTTTCTAGATCATCCACTGAAGCTGAATATCGAGCTATGGCTGCAGGGGTTGCAGAAGCTATGTGGCTTCGATATATCACTGATGCACTGGGTATTCCTCCGTCCAAACCGAAGTTATACTGTGACAATGAGTCGACTATCTGTGTCACCAAAAATCCGGTTCTTCATGATCGCATGAAGCATGTGGGCACAGACTGTCACTTTGTACGAGATGAGGTTATGGCAAGCACTATGACTCCACATCATGTTTCCTCCTCAGAGAAGCTAGCAGACATTCTTACCAAACCGCTTCCGCCAGTTCCTTTTGAGTACTTATGTTCCAAGCTGCCCCTCGTCTCCGTTGATCAGCTTGCGGGGGGATATTAGGAAGTATAATTAAATTAGGATACTTCTTTCCTTTCCTACTAGGATTATTCTTTCCTTTCTTACTTGTACTTTGATTACTCTTGTATTTCCTATATATAGGGCCATATCTCTCAATATTCAATAAGACAAGTTGTTATCAAATTGTATCAGCGAACAACCTATGATCGAGTTATAGTAGTTTTTTTCCTTGGCAAGTTTGAAATGAAACGGACTATAGTGCACCTTGTATTGATTGGTGTAGTTTCTCTCACTTATTTTTACTTTGCCACTCTAAACAACAAGTTCTTTTGCACTTTGTGATAATCTGGACAAGGATTCAAATGTATGCCCTTCCATGATGGAACTAATTATGGATATCCTAGACATGCAGTTGAATTGGCCCGTAGTTCTACATTGATTAGTTATTTGGGTGGCCTAGTTTGTTGGGCCAACCCATTATTTATTGTATATGGGTTGGGAGGGACATTAGATTCACTATATTGTATATACCCCAACTAGTGTAGAAGTTAGCTTTTATTTTTTATAAAAATAAGTATAATATTTTCTTACTCAAAAATTTATATTATTTGTAATGTTCCTTTTTATGTAAAAATTTAGTTTTGGGATAGATCTTGTAAAATGGTGATCAACGGTATAAATATAAAAAATTTATAATATAAAAATAAATTTAAGAATTTCTTAAATCTAAAACCTAAACACTACCTAGCACGATTAGCAAAACCCCAAACCCTCCCAATATTATACATATGAAGTATATAAATATAGTACTCACTCCTTACGTTCCTTCCTGCACAAAAAGGGAAAAAGGGGGTCGCACGAAGTACTCTCTTCATTAAATTGTTGGAATGGATTGTGTTATATGGAGTGTGGAGCTATATTAGCTGCGAAGTATTGGAGTTGAACACACATGTAGTTACCTTTAACGTTGGAGGCGCTAATGGGAGAAGAAGAGCTGGGGTATCGATCTGTCCGCAACATCGCTGGTTGAGGGATGTCATCTACCATCTTCCTCGTTGATTTGATTTGTTTAATTCGTCAAATAATTGAGGTCAAAATAATTAAGGTGAGTATTTGGACATCTAATGTTAGGCTACGTATGTAGGTTTGAAATTTACGTTCGTAGTTTTGTACGAATGATTATGTGCTTTGTTTGATTTTATTGTTAATTATGATGTATTAAAATATATAATGTTATTGGAACTGATTTATTGAGGACGATCATGTACGTTTTCTTAATCTAATATGTGTGATTTGTGTGATAATATTCTCTAGAAACGTTACATGTTCTCTAGAGGTGGATTTTGGTAAACTTTCTTGATGCTAGACAGTAGCATGGTATTGCCTAATGGTACCCAGCTACCGCCACAGGCCATCTGCCTCTGTCAGACTCTGTACCCAAATTATCGGGGATACTGGACCACCGGTATACGGGAATTGGCCGGCAGTACCATGGCACCATGATAAGTACTGTGTCAACCCCAGCCGACCGCTTTGTTTGTTTGTTTTGATTCAAATTCCATATTTATTTCATGATTTTGTTTGATGCATGACGGTAAGTGAACAATGTTTACACCCGACACTAGACGCTATTTGTCGAGTATGATTGTTTATCTAATCTGTTGTGATCTTGTACAAATTTAGAGATATGAAATTAAGAATTTGAATATGGATAGGCTAATTCTTGAGTTATAAGGTAGACCGAGAAACAGAATAAGGATACAGTTTGAAATTACTCGTCATGTGTTGAGCTAGCGTGCACACATAATAAACTGAGTAAAACATGCGGATAGGGTTGTAGATCTATTCATGGTTGTGAGTAGGTGGTCTCACGCAGTCGACGTTGGATGAAGTTGTATCAAGCGAGTTCTTCCATGGATGTGGTTGCATAAAGGTTCTCTGTCATTAATGCCTACAGTAGGAATGAGGAAAATTTGGTTACTCAAGTAAGAAGGTTTGACTTATGAATTGTAGTTATTGTACATTATGTGATATTATTAATATTATACTTTGTGCATGATGTTGTATGTAATTATGAGGTAGTGAGTTCGTCTATATGCATATTCGAAACGTTAAATATTTCTCACTTAGTTTCAATGTTGAGTGTGTAGCCCTTTTTACCTCTTTGCTACACGTAAGTAACAAAAATGACGAATAAGAAAATAATCTTGGAGGACAACGAGGGTTAAAAGATAGATGAGTGCTAGCTGAGAAGTTATTTATTAATTTAAATATGATATTTGAAATAATTATGTTTTAGGCAAGAATTCAAAGTTGTATTTTGAATTAAGTACTTTTGTTAGACAATAATACTAATATTACTTCTGCTAGTACGAGTTATGGTACTGTTTGATTATTAGTCAGCTTCTTATTCCTATTTGTAGTAGATGTTGTATTTTAGTTAGTCTTCATTTTCTATTCTTAGTTGTGTTAAGAGTCTCTTCTATATATACTCTATCATGTAATTTATAATTCAAGGAGCAATATTATTATTCTATTATGTCAACATGGTATCAGAGTCACCACTCTTGGTGACCTAAAAGAGTTCTTTGCTCCTGCCGCCGCCGTTGGTATTACCGGCGATGGTGGCTCCACCTTATTCACCTCTATTTTTTCTCCTTTTTTATCCTCAAATTAACTTCTCCATTCAAAAAAAAGAAAAAAGAATTCTTTGTTGAAATCACACAAAAAACCGTCAAAGCAGGAGTTTCCCTCTTGTCGTCTCCATGGTTCTTCTAAAAAGACCGCCGAAGGAAAACATGTCCTCAAAATCCACACCCCACCATGGGCTAAGCCTAAATCTCATTTACCCTCGAGCCGATGTCTTCCTATAATTTTTTGGATTGGAAACTCCTCAAAAAAAAACCCCTCTTAACTAATCATCTTATCTTCTCAAAAAAAATATGATAGTTGTTTCTCTCCAATTCACCGTATCAAAATCCCATACCCAAATCTTTTTTCCATCACCAATTCTTAACCCAGTTTTTTCTCAAATAACTCCTTATCATCAACAACCCTTCTCTTTCTCTTCTGTTGAACCAATAAAAATCCAAAGTAAATCAGTACAAAAGCAAAGCCAAGAGGGGAAGTAGTGAAAGAGGAATGAATACCTCTACAACTCACCCCTTCAAGAAAGAAACATGGCATTGCCCAGATCCAAGAAAAAGACAAAGAATGTCAAGGATCTTCAATCAAACTGATACTTGCAATAGCCTTCTTTGTTCTTCGACGTCAGCAGCTACAAGCGCACGTCAACCCTTTCTCTCTTCTCCAACGATGTTAGCAGCTACTTGCGCACGTCAGACTTCTCTCTTTTCTAACGACATCAGCAGCCACCAGCACACGTCAAACTTCTCTCTTCTCCAACGACGTCAGCAACCACTGGCGCACGTCAGATTTCTCTCTTCTCAAAGTTTCCAGTTTTTAGCTAGTGTCCAAGCTTTCTCTTACTTCAGCCAGAGTTTAGGTTGGGGGGATGTTAGACAATAATACTAATATTACTTCTGGTAGTATTGGTTATGCTAGTGTTTGATTATTTGTCAGCTTCATATTCTTATTTGTAGTAGATGTTGTATTTTAGTTAGTCTACATTCTCTATTCCTAATTGTGTTAGGAGTCTTCTATATATACTCTATCATGTAATTTATAATTCAAGGAACAATATCATTATTCCATTATTTCAACAACTTTAAATCTCCCGTGCCGTTTTTGTTTACTCCGATAGATTTATAAATAATGTTTTAAATTAAATGTTTTGAAATTGTTTTGGGAATTGGTTGTGTTTGTCAATTTAGTAACAACCCGGTTCATCGATACTCGTTGGTTCGGATAGCGCGGGTCAGGTGTTACATATTTACACCTCTTCTTCTTCTTTTTATCTAACTATGGATCCGCAAATCCATCAATATTATTTCATGAAATGAGTTGTCGAAATAATCAAAGTGAGTTACGTTTAGAAAAGCCAGTGTGATGCCGTTGAATCACAATATCTCTGATAGTCGAATGCTTTATATTTTTTTTTAGTAAAAGCCAAGTAACAACTAGTATGATAAAATTGTGTCAAGAGCATATTCCATCCTAATAGTGTGGTCTACAAGGTGAGCGAAGCCATACTTCTAGGGCTTGAATGGGCATGGAATAAAGGTTAATTAGTTGAGGCAGGTTCTAGAACCACTAGAATCCCGTGGCTACGGAAGCCATTGTCCCCTACGGAGCTCCGTTCATGAAATTAATGATTCCTACCCCCTAATCTCCCTGGTAAACCCTCCTGCCAAGTTTCGACCCAAACTATTCCCCCTACCTACGTCAATTGCACCTCGCAAGTATTATTGAATTTAAAGTCAAAATTTTTGACTTTATACTTGCGAGATGCAATTGACCTTGGTGGGAGAAGTAATTTGGGTCGAGACTTGGCGGGGGTTACCGGGGGGTTAGGGGAGGTAGGAATCATCAATTTTATTAACGGAGCTCCGTAGGAAAGCAGTGACTTCCGTAGCCACTGAATTCCAGTGACTCTAGAACCGGCCTCTAATTAGTTTCCGTCATTTAATCGTCCAAAATGATTGTAGAGATGCTATCAAATGGATTCATTGCCCGGAGGAACGCCTTGGCCCTTTCTGACAAATAGTCTTGGAGTAAACAAGATTAGTTAAGAGGGAATGAAATATTAGTACCCAAGACGTCTATAGGGAGTAAAATCATGTTACGGGTGCTATTGCTAAAATAACTAATCATGATACTGATAATCAGAAAATTTTTGCCTTCATTCAGATTGAAATTCAAATTTATTTTAAAAAAAATTATTAATGCTCCTTCCGTTCTTAAATTATTTACCCTTTACGCAAAAAAGGTAAAATTTTAAGTTTTTTCAATTTATTTTAATTAAAAATTGTTGTAAATTTAAAAAATAAAATCTACATATTTAAAAAATACATCAAAAATTCTAAAAAACAAGAGATGACAAGAAAATTTTATTTCACCAAATAATTATAGAAAACACACAAATAAACAAAATTTCTGGTAATTTTTTAAAAATAAAGTATGTAAATCATTTAGGGATGAAAAAAGTAAAATTGAATTACCTAATTTGTGTGCTTATTTGCTTAATTGCAGTGATTACTTGACCTATGACATACTTCTCTCCTCTTGATCCTAAAAAAAATTTTTTTTAGTGCTAAAATTAATTTCTCAATTTGACTTTTGGAATCAATCTTTTAAAATTTGACTATATATTAAAGAAAAAACACATCATATATATATTCATTATGAATATATTCATGTGGAAACATTATTTTGAAATATATTATTTTTATAATATACTCCATCCGGTCCTAAAAACATTTCTTGTTTTGACTTTTAAAGGGTTTAACAGAAATTTATTTTTGTGATGACTTTCAAAAATGTCTTTAGATGTGATTGATAAAGTACTATGTGATAAATAGATTAATAGTGAATAAATGTGATGTGATAAGTACGTTAAGAACTAGTAAAGGTAAAATGACTTTTTAATAGAAAATGAGAAGCATTTTTTCAGACGGATAATGTAGAAATTAATAAGAGGAAAAATATTCAGTATATTTAGTTGGCTTGTGAATACAAAGGTCTAACCCTCTTTATATAGGAAAATGGTAAAGCATATAAGTAAACTTTTATTACTACCATATTTCTATTCCTACTATAACAAGAACTAAGCAAATTAGAAAAGATACTAAACTGAATCCCAAAAGGATTTAGTTTCCTTCTTTGATCTGGCTTCCTTCTTCTGTCGCCAACAGATAAAAAAAATTTGGATAATAAATTTTGTATTGAAATGTTGTATTGAAAACTTTGAAAAGTCCATTGTGAAATAAATTTTGGATAATTTATCTAAATAAGACTAAAATATAATATCTTTTTCAATATAATATTATATGTTTTTATTTTCTAATGTAGGAAAATTAATTTTGGAGAAAGATAATAATAGTTAAAATGTTGTATTGAAAACTTTGAAAAGTCCATTGTGAAATAAATTTTGGATAATTTATCTAAATAAGACTAAAATATAATGTCTTTTTCAATATAATATTATATATTTTTATTTTCTAATGTAGGAACATTAATCAATATCTATTAGTCATTATTCAACTAAATGTCTAGCATCACTTAGACATTATTCTTCTCACTAGTTATTAATAAGTTCTATTTAAGAAATTAAAAAGTTTAAATTCTACACTTATGTTTTAGTCATATTCAGTGCAAATTTCATTTCACATTAATTTTAAGACAAACATGAGTAATCTAATGACATTTTCCCAATATTTTCTTTCCTATTCTAGAAGAATATTTAAATATACCGAGGAAGATCAGACTTTAAATATTTCGTAGTCATTATCATCTGATTAGAACAACTGAATTTCCGTCACGGATGCGGCCATTAGTCGGCTATTATTGCACTTAAGTGAAGCAAAACGCTAAACGCTGCTAATATTTGTTCTCAACAATTAATAATAGAAATACTCCCTATATAAAATAACTGGAATTTTTTTTTTAAAAAAAACTACAGAGTATGGAGGCTACACAGACTGGGCCCACGGTTCCCGTCGCCGTTCACGGCGGCTCTCGGGCTGCTCCCAGTGCTGCTGTTCGATAGCGAACAGAGCGCCGCCGTCTGCAACACTCCCGTTGGGGACGACGATATTCTCGGACTAACATCGCCCCATCCCTCCATCAGGTTCAGTGCCCATGTATCGTTATCCTTGCCGCCGCCGTCAATGGCGGCCCTGCTGCTGGTGCTGTGAAACACCTCGCCGAGAGGCCCTCCGACGGAGGCTGATTTGTCCCATGCCGCCATCGGATTCCAGCTTCCCACGCCTAACCCCATTTGAGTCGCGGTCGCCGCGGCCGTTGTGTTATGCTCCCACGATAGCTTCAGCGGCGAAGCTGCGAGATTTCCTCCCGACGCTGGAGACGACGTGGAGGACTTGAAATCGGCGACGGGGATAGAGATCGAGAGACGGGTTCGGTCGGAATTCGGCTCGGCTGCGTCGGGGCGGTTCTTGGGCCAGTCGTCAATGAACTGATGAAGCGACCGCTGGGACGGCGGCGGCGGAGACGGGCGGGTGGCAAAGAACGGCTTCAAGTTAACATTCTGGCTTTCGAGACTAACGGCGTTGCCGGGAACGTTCCCACCGCGGGCCACAGCTGCGGTGGCAGAATGACCAGTTTGACCACCTTCCACAGGCTTTCTTGAGCGGTGGCGCCCTCTGTTCAAGTGACGCTCACAGTACTTCTGGTCCGGCACGGCGTCTCTGGAGCACCGCCACTTCTTCCCGTCCGTCCTCCTGCACCGCCCGGGCTCGGCGTCGTTGGGATTCGAAAATCCCACTTGAAAACCGCCCCATCCAACTGCCAAACAAACACAAATCCCAAACAATCTATAAGAACGAAAAATCGGATCCAACTCAAACCCAGAAAGGGAATCAAGAAACAGAGACTTACGAGAATTGGGGCGGTGGAGGAGGCCGGAATACGCAGAGAAGGCGGCGGACTCAAACGCGGCTTTCCTGATGGGATTAATAAGATAAGGAGGAACAGGGACGTTTGCAGTGAGGTACTTATAGATCAACGCCTGATGCTCCAGCTCCATCCACTGAGATGGAGTGAATATTAATCCTCCTCCCCTGTTTCCACCACTCAATCCGCCATACCCATACCCTGATTCATTCATATGAACACCAAATTATGAGATCAATTAAAGGGTCTAAATTCATTCATATTTACTCAGTTTAATTTGGCGAGGGCTTAATTACCGGAGTTAACAGGGGAAAACTGGTGATTGGGAGAAGAAAAACAGAGCATGTGAGGGCCTTCATAGAATGAGTTTGTTTTGGCAAGCTTTGAGGCAACACCTTCTTCTTCTTCTTCATCTTCTTCTTCCCCGGAAGGGCGGGGCCTGAGTTGGTGTTTTCCAAAACCAAGACCAGATCCATACCACTTCTGCTTACCTGATGAGCTCTCTGAGCTCACAAACAGTCCACTGTCCAAATCCATTTAAAGAGAGAAGATTTCACGAAAAAAAGGGGGGAAACCTATCTAATGACCAAACAGCATAAAGAGATAACACATACGGAATTAGGACTGTATTTCTTGAGGAAATGTTTTTCTTTTTCTTTTTTTTTCCTTCGAATTTAGGTTTGAAGATTGGTGGGTGGGGAAGGAAGCAGACCTGAAAAGGGGAAGCAGGGAGTACACTACATATAGTGCTGGCTGTCTGTCTTGGTTATGGTTACAAGTTGACGTTTTTTTTCTTCCTTTTATTTAAAGCTTACAACGACAGATTACTACGAATCATTTTCCTTTTCTAGTGAGGTATTACAAACTTTGTTTCGTGTCACATTGCATCCAATATCATATAATGACTCAGAGCTTCTTTAGGGACTCGTTGATAAAATTAATAGCCCATTCATGTCCCTCCTATTGGTCATTGCGGTTGCTGTAGCCAATCAGCAATATTAGAAGGAATAGAAATCATCAATTCTACCAACAAAGCTCTGTAGAGAACTCGGAACATGCTATGATATTCAAATTGATTGACACATGAATCCTAGTGACAAAAATCTAGCAGTCATAATTTCCAAATTTGAATAGATAAAAAAAGGAAATATTTGCACTAAATAGCACTAAAACATAAGTCATTTCTCTAAATAGCACTTAGATTGTTTTCTTCTCTAAATAGCACTTTATAATGTCCATAATGACCAGTGATAGCAAACATTTACTTGAATAATGACTAATGGATAATGACTAAAAGTGCTACATTGAGAAAAAAAACATATGTAGTGCTATTTAAGGAAAGTCATTATGTTTTAGTGCTATTTAGGTAAATTCCTCTAAAAAAAGTGCACACAATAAAATAGGGGAGTCTCGATAATTAATGGGTGGTGGTTACATGCATGTATGGCGCAATGTTAAATGCTTCACCAAACACTTTAGTACGTGTATTTTTAATGGTTTCATATGCATACTGCATACATGTGCTATGATCTGAATCTATGCCTTCCCCATGCAAGTATGTATTCCCACCATGCCTAGCTACGTGTCTAGTTGTGACTATTTGACTTTTTTAAAAAAAAATTACTCGTATTACAAAATGAAATTTTAATTGCTTTTTTTTTTAATTTGTTGAAGTTATTGGGATAAGTTTGGCGTGAAGGCCATTTGATTTAACAAGTTTAAGATTATATTCAACTTGGCAATATAGTGATGTTTGTGGAAAATGAAGTGATTACGAAAAGTTACCATATACTCCATCCGTCCCAAAAAGTTTGTTACGTTTAGAAAAAACTGCGTCCCGTAAAGTCCGTTACATTTCTATTAAAAAACCACTTTTACCCCTTACTTTTTCATACCCTACCTATCACATCATACCTTTTTTCTAATAATTTATCCATCACATCCTACTTTTACCCATTACATCAAGGGTATTTTTGGAAAGTCAATACCAAAATATCCCTCCCTTAATTTCTCAAAAAGTCAAACCGTCTCATTCTTTTTGGGACGGAGGGAATACAAAACTTGCCAATAAAGAATGAGATCTATTGTGTAATTGTGATTTCAATTATTCAAAATTGCATGGTTCTAATGATATTGGACACCATTGACATTGGGGTGGTGCTGGTTTCATGTCGAACCGAGCTGTAGGAATTTTTTAAAGAGTTAAGAAGGAAACTACCAATTTTATTAAAAAAATATTTTAAAATTTTCAATTATAGCATTTGACACTCGAAATAAGTGTCAACGTACGTAATCTAACCATTTTCATATTTGTTAGAGCATCTATAATGGGAAGTCTAAAAATGGGTAGGGTATATTCAATTTTACATTACCAATAGTGTTTTACACATCTACTTTTTGATATCCATTCTAACCATATCTTCTATATTATATAATTTTATCTTATTTTAATATTTTAAGCTATTTATTTGTGATAATATTTATAGTTTTTAAAATTTTAATGGCACATATGTTTTAAACTATATTATGGAGTATTAAGAAACATGAAACAAAAAAATTAGTGAATGAAAATATAATTAAAAAAATCAATAACATACTAAAAGACTTTAGTAAAAAATTATTTAAAAGAGTATAAAAGCAGTTGAAAGAGTAATAATAATTTACCGATGGTTAGATATTTTAAATAAATTACTCCATCCGTCCCACTGTTTTTGTCCACTTACCTTTTGGCACACTATCCAATTCACTTCTTTAATCCATTTTATCTTGTAATTTGTATATTAAAGGAATCAAACAAGATCACACATGACTATATTTAGGCTTACACATTGAGAGAATTTGATGAGTCAAAGTGCTTAGATGAACAATTCCAAAAGTCAGAAGTGGACAAAAACAGTGGGACGGAAGTAGTATACAGGATGAGCAAAACAAACAAAATTAATCATGCATTCATGCATTATTTTAATAATAAATTTTCTACAAGCTATCAATAGTAAAGTGTATATATATATATATATATAAAAGTTGAGAATTGCATTTTGGACTATATATATTTTTTGCACTACTCATTGAATGGGTTAAAATGTATATATTGTAGTGTATAAACACTCTCCATTACAGATGGGTCTTAATTTGGAATATTTTTAGGCACATGTACAGATGCAAGGCGTGCTTTTAAAGACTGCTATTTACCCAAAACTCTTAGCTGCCCTATATTCTATACGTACTGTTCGCTACTATCTCTTTTTTTAAAGTACTCCACTATTTCTTCCTCTTTTTTTAATTGTTCATGTTAGTATTAATCCGTATTTATTTTTCAACCATGACACTAAAATCATCAACAAATTTCTCTTAAAAACAATGTTCAAAATTCATCGAGTGGACTTGATTTAAGAGAATGAAGATTGACTATCCGATTTGTGAATTTGATATCTCTCTGAATTTGGGAGATATAACTATTATAGCGAGTTTGATATCCTCTCAACCATTGATTATCTTTGTCACCGGTTTCCACCATCGTCGCCCACACATTGCCGACCACTTTCCATCGCGGTCACTCACGTCTATCATGAATAACAATCATTTTAGACTTTTAAAAATATCACGGAACCAAATCAATCGAAAGCTCAAACTTGTGGTTATGAACTAGAAATTTTTTTTATATTCTAACATGTTCCCTCATAGTCTTTGATTCTTGCACGTAAAACCTTAAATTTTTGAACTAGATGACACTGAATTTCGAAGTCATGACCTCTTAACGAACAAGGCTTTGATACCATATCGAGGAATCAATTCAATAAAAAATTCAAACTTGTGGTTATGGTCCAATATTTTTGTTTATGTTCTAACATAAAATAGTTTTATTTCAAATATATATCATTTCTCTTAAAATTTAATTAGAAATAACATTATACCCATCCTACCATATATACTCACCCTTAGAATATGAAAGTTCATTTGAAATTTGGGTGGTTCTAAAGGTGACTCGAAGTATGTGGCCCCAAATACACACCAAACCAAACACAGACACACACAAATACTTAGAGCACTGGAAATACTCGTGAAGCCCTGGGGCTTCAAACCGGGGCTTCAAATTCTCTCTCTGCCACGTCAGCTTTAACTTACACCAAAAATTCACTGGAAATGGGTTTGAAGCCTCGGGGCTTCAAACAGGAGCTTCAAACCTTCATATTTAACATTTTTAAATATACATCTTCTAAATTTAAATTATTAAATTTTAATTAATTTATTATTTAAATTAATCAAAAGGAGATTAGTATATTAAAAAAATTACATTCATTAAAAAAATATTACATTCATAGAAGAATACATTCATAAAAAAGTTTCATTCATTAAAAAAATATCACATCCATAAAAAAATAACACTACAAAGAAATTACTAATTATTCGAACAACTAAAAATATCTTCATTCAAATTCGAGTTGTAGTAAAATATTGCAAACTGAAATAATTCATCAAATAAAAAATACAGTCAATAAAAAAGTATGTTAAATTTAATAAAAAACAAAACAAAATTACATTACTAAAAAATTTGAAAAAAAAAATTAACATTAAACAAAAAAATATAGAGTAAAACAAATTATGTTTGTGTATATTTTTTTTAAAGAGAGAGTGGGGAGAGGGGGAAGGGTTTGAAGCCCGTTAAACATTTGAAGTAGAAGAGATGAAGCCCGGATGAAGCCCCAGGGGGGCGGTGTTTAACGCCCCCTGGGCTTCAAAAGTAGCATAACGCCGAGTGGCGTTACATGTATTACCAGTGCTCTTAGAGAGTGCTTAAGAGTGTGACTAGAGCTGGCAAATCGGTCGGTCAGGTCGGGTTCGGGTTCGGTCACTTCAAGTTCGGGTTATTTCGGGTTCGGGTTGAGAACTGTATGTTCATGACCCAGTGTCATCGGGTTCGGGTCGATCCAACGGGTTATGACTTTGGTTTTTTAAATTTTTAAATTCACAGTAACACTTACATTTTCTATTAAATAAATTTAAAATATAAAAAAAAGTACTAAATCTATAAAATTATATTATTTTAAACTCTNCTCTAAAGTAGTTTTTAGATATATAAATCAATATAAGGAATTTAAAAATGTTTAAGTTTTGGAAAATAGTAAGATAATTATGCAATATCATTAAAATTTTGTCTGAAAATATAAATTTATACACTAAAAACAAGTAAAAAAAGTGTATAATTTTGAAAAATTCTTAGTTTAGCGGGTCGGTCAGGTCGAGTTCGGGTTCGGTCGGGTTTGACCCATTTTTAGCGGGTCATTTCGGGTTCGGTCAACTTCGGGTTCGGTCATCAAAACCTTTGTTCAAAATCCGGTGTTTTCAGGTCGGGTTTCGGGTCAAAAACAGGTTGGGTCACTTTTTGCCAGGTCTAAGTGTAACAAATTATTTAAAAAGTAAAATGAATCGAAGCAAAAAGTAAATATTTTTAATTTAAAATCATTTCAAGAATCCATTTTAGAGTAAAATTTTCGTTGAAATGCGTTGGGATTTCTCTTTCCTTTCTCAACTTATGCATACGTTTCTTTTCCAAGACAAGGGATGTAATGGCGTTGGGGTGGATGGGGTAGCCGGGTACGGAACAAAAGTAATAATGATAATAATTACGGAGTATTTTCTTCCTCCCACCCAATTTTTTATACTCCATCCCATCCCCTTGAAAATGTTTGTCATAATATTTAAAAATTAAAATGAAGTTAAATTTATTTTTATTTATTTTTTTAAGATTGTC